TGTAAAGCTATATAGGGCCCAAATACTAGTGCAAGTAGGGTATTGTGTAATTGGTTGACATTGATAGTTGTGTGTGGATTTATGCAAAAATGAGCCCCCCTTATGTTTTTGTGAATCAAGAGGTTGAGCATAGAAATTATGATTATGTGTAATTATTTGACTGTGGTGTGTTGCACAAATTCATAATAGTCTATTGTGTATTATCTAAGAGTTAATATAGGCTTTTGGCACTTGAGTTGGGAAATTAACACTCTAGTTGTGTATTTTTGTGATAAAGGAGTAAGTTTCAATAAGGGTGTCCAACTATTATTAGAAAAATTATTTGGTTGTAAAACCAGTTCCATTAACTAGAGTTAGAAGAAAGCTCTCCGTAAATACCTAACTCTCTATAAATTGTTGTCAATTTCATACAATGCACCACGACGCATGTTATAAAGAACAATATGCCATGGTGCATGTAACATAAGCCGCAATACATCTGTTTTCTATTATATTGTTTTTGTTGTTTCCAACTAGTTTGCAAATGCATTGTCATTTTTGCAAATTATAAAATTTGGTAGACCAATTGGGGTTATACCCTTGAAAATCTTGGTTTAGGAGAACAACCGTGTTTAAGTAGGGAATTTTACAAGGGAGATCCTAGTTTTAGAAACACCACAAGAGATGATTGGTCATTTGGTCCCACTAGTATTCATCAATGGATATCACGAGTTAGAAACTCTTAGAAGAATAAAACTCTTATTCAAAGTCTGAAAAACATTACATGAGGCGCACCTATTAATTATATAGGCAGAGAAAGATAACTTAAATGAAAACTCTAACTACATTGCACCTATCTCGTATTTTAGGAAACTTCTCTAAATTATGGGCAGCTGGCAATAATGATAGCTTCTAGAAACTTTCTTTAATCTTTAAACTTAAACTTCATTACAAATTATCCTAAATAAGGAAACAAATCAAAATGATTCAGCAAACTGAAATTTAAACGGGGGAAAAACAAGGTCAAATATCATAAAATAAGAAACTAAATAAAATTGTAATCTAGGCCTAGTGAATACTAAAATTATGCCATTTGTCTTGACATGCTCCACCACTCCTTAACCCATATTCCATGTTTCTAATTAGCACAGGATGAATTAGAACACAGAAAAAACTTGAATGCATGGGACTTCTTGTGGATAAATGAAATGAACTTACAATGCTTGGATAACCATAAATGGACTCCTTTAGCTCTCTTTTCGACGCCTCTTTTACATTCCTGGGAGATCGAAGCTTTCTTATGCAACAGATCTGGACCTCCTTCACAACTTTGAACTGGGCTTTTGTCACTGGGCCTCCACCACCTTTTAATGGATCTTTGGGCACATAAGGATGGTCTTGGATGATGTAAATCACGTGGGCCTTCATGCATTGGGGCTTTCAATCACGTGGTCATGCTCCTCTTGGGCTCCTTGCACAGCCTGCACACGCCACTTTGCTTTCCAACCACTGTCAAGCTCCACATGTACTCTATCAAATCAGAAATGGGCTGTTACACTCTCAAGTGGTGGGGTTTTGAGAGATCATAATGGATACTGGATAGCAAGATTCTGCTACAATTTAGGTATTTGTTCTGTTTATGAAGCTCAGGAATGGGCAGTGCTAAAAAGCCTTCATTTTGTCTGGGACTTTGTCTTTAGGCATGTGTTCTTAGAACCTGATAGTAAAAGTCTCATTGATCAGATTGCTAAAGGAAATATAAGTAACAGTACTTGCTGTACAGTTTTGTTGGAGATAATTGATATGTTACACTGGAAGTGGGAAATCTAGCTACAGCATGTTGACAGGCGGCCGAATCAAGTTCCTGATAAGCTGGTAAAATAAGGAATTTCCTATTCTTTTCTGTTTGAGGTGGCTCCAGATTTTTTGAGGAGCTTAGTTGCTTTTGATAGTCTGGGATCCCAGTACGGCAGTACCCTCTCGTGTAATTTCCTTTGATTTCTAGGGCTTCGCCCTCTTCTTTATCAAAAAAAATAGAAATACGTTCACTAAACCTAACAAACACAAAAGTACGTACTTTTAGCGGGGTATTATGAAATCAACCAATGACAAGCAACAGAAGCCATAAGCTTGTACCAGTTCAGACCCAGCGAGAACGGCAAGTAAATATATACATAGAAGGATTTTATCAGTTTTCCAGTTCAAACACAAATATGAACATTAAAATTTAATTGATACGTAACTATATATATTCCAAAATTTCATGAGCGAAGAACAGAATGTGGATAGAGGACGTGGCAGTACAATTAAACTTTGAAGTACTTAAAGTTGGATAAATTAAATTAAACTAAATCAAATCAAAATCAAAATATGGTGAACGCAGCGTTAATAACCTTCCTGGCAGTCACGCACATTCACATCGCTTTCTACTTACCTGTGTGTGATCCATGCACGGGTGGCTTGGGTCAGAGTTTCTAGAATTAATATTGTTTATAGTAATTCTAATTATTTATTATTGAGTGCATTGATTACTTATATGTTTAATGAATTAAATATAGGTGAAAGGGGTGTATCAGATCAGAGACTTTTAGACAACAGGGATTTCACTGCGCGATATCCGCCGGATCATTAATTAATTATTATTGTTGCTAGTTACTATCATGATTCCTAAATCCTAACTTTCAAAAATTGCTACGGCCAAATTAACAGCGAAAACATTATTGTATATTTACGTAAACTGATGGATTTTTCCCCATTTTCAAAATGACACATCGACAATTGGTGAGCTTTGATTTTTAAATTCTTATAGCTCAGTTCTGGCCAGTCTCTTATGAAAAAGGATGAAGAAGATTAAAGAAAAACACTAACGTAATGTTTGGATTGATAGATTTAGATTTAAATTTAAAATTTAAAATTTTGAATTTTAAATCTTATGTTTAAAATTCATGTAATTAAAATCTTTTATTTGAGTAGTTTAAAAAATTTTAAACAAAGAATAAATATGCGTTGAGATTTGAAATATAAATAAAAATTAAAAATGTGGGTTTAACTCTATTTTTCAATTAATGAGAAGTGAGAACAAGAAATAAAAAAAGATAAAGGCATTAATAGTGAAAACATGAAGAGAACAATATATTTAAAATGATTGAAATTCTTAAAAAACTAAAGTTTAGAGGGAATTTGAAATTATAAAGGAAACATAATAAGAAATCCAAATCTAAATCCAAAAATTTTTGTGTATCCAAATAGGAGATTTGATTGAAATTTAAATATAAATCCCCATTAATCGAATTACATCATAAATGAAATTGTTGAAAGGGATCTGGTGAACAATATTTGCATACATTTCATTTTTGATAGAGGACAATAGTATTATGTAGGTAACCAACTTTATCGAGTGAAACAAAGCTTCATATTGTTGTAGTATTATAAAGTGGCGATTTCAAGGGGAAAAAGCAGTGAAAATTAAAGCATAATGTTTCACATCAACTTAAGTCCACTAATATTTGAATATCCTAAAAAAATTGCATAAAATCTAATAAAGTTGGTAGTTCAAGTCAAGCACGATGAGCTAGTCAAGGAAATATCCAAACAAATCTTAGGCTGGACTTCATACTTTGAATTTTTTTTTCTATTTTGGGCTTATTCAAGTTGCCCAAATAAGCTCCAAGAAATCTGAGCCAAGACAAATTAATTTGAATGGGCTTATTTTAAATATCTAAATTCTTTTTTATTATTATTAATGAAATAGAAGTAATCTTTACTTCAATGTTCACTTGCCACTCTCACGAACCCTCTCCAAACTCCTAGTTTGTACATTTTGCATTTTTAAATGAAGTTTGAATGTCCTAATAACCATTCGTTTTGAATATTTTTTAAAAATATTAAAGAAAAGTAACCCAAGATATTGCTTCATATATTGTTATTTTTATTCTTTTAATATCAGGTCTCATGATCACTTTAATAAGGATAAAGAAAGGTGCATTGTAATATTATGTTGATTAAAAAATCTTTTTTTAAGATAAAAAATAAAATTGACTAAAATAAAAAAAATAATATTTAATAATTTGAATATTTGGATTAACCCAAATAAGCACAAAACCCGAGGCTTGGCTTAGTTATATACATTTTTTTGTATGTTTGAATATTTTGAAGTTAATTTGAAGAAATCCAACCAATTTAAATTATTGACTCTAAAATCTAATTAATATGACATAAAAAAGAGGAAAAGTTTCGGCTTGGAAGTGGGGCAAACAATGGAGTAATACATGTACTCCCCCAATCATATTTATAAGTTATTTTTAATATTTTATTTGGAATCAAGAAAAACATTAAGTCTCATAACTTAATCTAAAAATTCAACAAGTTCTACTTTTATTCCTATTAAATATATATACATACTTTAAATATAAAATATTTTAGCATTTGATAACATTTCCAAGAAAATAAGGCAAAATTAAAGGGTAAAGATGGAACAATGTAATTACTTAAATGCTTATAAATTGAACTAAAATAGATATCATTTGTCTATCCTATAAATAGAATAAGAGGAGTATGTCATTTGTTAACATGGTAATAGCTACAACCAAATTTATCTATTTCATATCAACTCAAGTCCACTAGGACTTGAACATATCCTAATAAAATTTGCACAAAATCAAGGCACAAAATGTAATACTCATTCGGTCTTTTTTATAAATTATTTTTACCAATTTTATCAATATCAATATAAGAAAAATACAAGAAATAAAAGTATATAGAATTTCAAATATGTCTTTATATAATAAATTTAAAAAGTGATGTCATATTATTTTTTCTCTTTTATGAAGGATAAATTTAAAAATACTTTTAAATATTACTTAAAAAGTTATACTATAACTTATAAATAAAATTAAATATATTTTTTTAAAATAAGATTTATAAATGAGACCGGGAAGGGGTGACTAGAAGGAAGGAAATCAAGGTTCTGGAAACTAGAAGTTCGACTTTAGTGGGGGCAGGTATGATAGAGTAACGCACGTATGTCATTTGCTAACGTGGAGCTTCTGAGAAATGATGCATGGAAGGAAAAGGCAATCAAATTCTGCGGAGGAAGAAGAAGATCGAACCCACTATTTGACCAAACTAGCCGAGTGAAGCAGAATCGTGTAGCGCCTCGCCTTGCAACAGCATACTATTCACATCTAAACACAGCCACCTAATTACTCCATTTTCACACCTGTGCTGAGGACTTGAGGGTAACATACGGTGTACGAAGCGTGTACCATCTCTTATATATATAACTAATCATTTCCCAATCCTTCCTTCATCTCTGCCTCCCCTCAGTTCACAAACATCCATCATCGATCGTGTTCCGCTCAGACCTTGCCACGTCACCGGCTTTTTCTTCAACTCTCAGAATTGACATTTCAAGGTGCTGTTTTGGATCTATTCCAAGCCGACCACGACGAGCTTCAGAGTCAGATGACGGAAATATCCTCAGCCATGTACTTGCCTGAATTCGTAAGCAACCCCAACTCGTCCAACTATCTTTGTGTTTTAGGGACGTTAATCACTGGACTTAGTTTAGTTAGTTAGTTAAACTAGAGAAGCATGTAAACATGAATTAATTAGACTAATTCATTAATAAATTATCATCAGGGAATGGAGGATCTGACATTGTTTGAGGAGTTCCCGATGGATTGTTTTGATGGGCTTGATTTCCAATCCTTGGTCTCCGAGAACTATTCACCTTACGAGCGTCCAAACTCCCAGAGAAAACAGAATCCTCAGTCAGTTATAGCCCGACCAGGACCAAGTCCGAGCAAGAAGGTCAAGGTCATCAATAAGTCTGGTGATCCCAGACTCATTTCTTTTGAGCACTCCAATAATACGCACCAGTTATGCGATCTGGCTCCCAATGTGAAGCTCGAAAGCCTCAGTGAAAACGTACTGAATCTGGCGTCTTTAAGAAGCTGTCAAGGCGCATACTATGAAGGCATAAATTTCGCAAAAGGTGAGAAACAGACGAGAAACCCACTCCAAGCTCAAGATCACGTCATGGCCGAACGAAGACGAAGGGAAAAGCTCAACCAGAAGTTCATTACTCTCTCCTCCATCATTCCTGGCCTCAAGAAGGTAATTCTATTAATCCTACACTAGGCACAGCTAATTAATATGACACACATTTTGATCTAATGTTTGTTTATTTGGATGCAGATGGACAAGGCGTCGGTGTTGGGAGATGCTATAGAGTACGTGAAACAGCTGAAGGAACGCGAGAAGATTCTGGAAGAACAAGTCGCTATGAATAGAAAGGAATCTGCACTCTTGACGAGGAGAACTATTCTCTTTGCGAACGACGGTGATAAGTCGCCGCCGTCCTATGAAATTCCCGACAAGTCACTGGCTGAAATCGAGGCCAGAGTTTTGGGTAAAGATATACTCATCAGAATCCAATGCGAGAAACATAATGGGTGTGAGGCTAAAATACTGCGAGAATTTGAAAACCTTCGTCTCACTGTTCATAGCAGTAGCACCCTCCCATTTGGAGAGACCACCCTTTGTATAACCATCATCGCTCAGGTAAATATAATAATTAATTAAAACGTCTTAATCTTAACCTTTAATACAGACCCATTAAATTTCGTTCAAGTTCCTTTAATGTTAATTCTATGCATGTTTTTTAAGCAGATGGACAAGGAGCACAGCATGACAGCAAAGGATCTCGTGGGAAGCTTGAGGAAGGCATTGACATTAGATCGTGCGTAGTTCAGATAATACATATTGTTAGTAGAGGGGTGGTTTTTGAGCGGCTTTGATTTTTCAAACCTACTCTTTCTTGATACTCCCTCTTTTAGATCTGTTGTGATAAGCAGAAAATTAAGGTTCTTGTTTGTAGAGACGATAATAGAACTAGCAGGCACATGTATGTTTCGCATCGTTTATTGTTGTGTATAAAGTTCTTATGATTATTTGTGCTCCCCAGAGATAATGACAATATAATTAGTTTAAGCTGCTTGGTATGATGTATATTTTCTAGTTTGTACATTTTCATCCTTTTTTTTTTTTTTTTTGGTGTTTGACTGAATATACATGAATGAGACACCTTGGCATCAAGCAGACCACTGTGGAGAATCGGATTGTGATTTGTGACCTTATAGCTTGGAGATACATCATTAATAATTTTGGAATGCTAGCACTTCACATAATTTTTATAAAATATAATATAATTACCCGTCACGTGCGCTCTCGATCTCTCTCCTTCCAAAACTGCAAATAATTTGGTCCTTTAATTTAAAATAAATTTGATAAATGAAAATTTGTCTGCATTCATGCCTAAATTTAGCGTCCCCGTATGTCCACCATTTTGTCGTATGTTGAGGAATTATTAATTCAATGGGAAATTCACCCACATGGGCTTAAACGTTACTTTCCATCTAAATTATAAGATATTTTTAAATAAAATCACATATAATAATAAATTTTATTAAATATAATTTATAATTTTATTTTTTAAAAATAAAAATATAAAATTTTAAAAATTATTTTCATTAAATATTTCATTTATGAAAGAATATTAAAAAGAAAGAGAATATAATGAAAATAATAATATTAAAAAATTATTATTAATAAAACTTTATTTTTGTTCAAGAGCATTATATTTTGAAATGTCAAATCTTTCTAAAAGTATCCTATAGTTTGTGGCAAAGGAAGTAATTAAAAAACTAATTAATGCTCCCTCCGTCACATTTTATAAGAAATTTTATGAAATAATTTGGTGGTCCAAAATATGAAATGTTTTGGAAAAAATAATGCCTCATTAATGATAATTATCCCAATACTACCCCTCATTATTTCATTCCTTAAATATATTTATTTCCCTCTCAATCTCTTATTAATAAAGAGCATATTTTTGAAATTTTATAGAAAAATTAAGTTTGTAAGTATAATTTTACCAAGAAAAATATTTTATAAATTGAAATGGAAGGAATAGTATATACTCTCATGATGATGGTCATTAATTTGTCATTGTCGACATCACAAACAATGATAGTTAAATTCATCCAAAATTCTCTCTAATCAGTTTTATCAATCAAATGCCTTCATATTCTGATGTTCAAGGTACGTAAAATCGAACCGGTCATTAAACCGGTCGTGGCACTGGGTCACGGGTTAGTGGTTCAATCAGGGTTGAACCGGGGGTTGAACCGGTGGCAAACCGGTCATGATTAAAATAATACAATTTAAATAAAAAGACATTAATTATAAAAACATTCAACTAAATCCAACCACTCAAAAGTCTAACAATAATAAAATACTATATTTTTGGACTTAGCATGCTCTATCTCTAATTTTTTATTTTTTGACTTCAATTTTACTTTTTTTTGTTATTTTTTTCCGAACTCAGAGCTCTGAAAAATTAAAAATGAAAAAAAATCAAAAACGACGTCGTTTTGGGGTAAAAGTCTGAAAAAATATTAACCCGGTTAACCCAGTCAACCCACCGGGTTATACCGGGTTGACCGGGTTACACCGGTTCACTCCCTCACCGGGTTAAGTGCAAACCCAGACCGGACAGGGGACCGGTTCACCGGTTTCCGGGTTGACCCGGCCGGTCCGGTCCGATTTTCAATACCATGCTGATGTTCCTCAAAATGGAATATTGGATATGAGAAATTCTTAGGTAGACCGAGCATGCCAAATTAGTTGTGTTCTATCCAATAAAAATATAACATTTAGATGACATTAAATACAAATTAATTTTGACATTTATGATAGCAGAGAGAGAAAATACAAGAAATTAAATATGCCTTCTATTATAAGAATAAAATTAATTAAAATAACATTACATAAAATTTTATTTAGATGACTTAGAGCATTCTAATTTGATAGATTACAAATGATATGGCACACCTAATCTACTTAAGAATTACCCGCACCCTCAATCTCCAACAATGATGGAAACATTAAAAGGAAAAACAACATTGTCTCAGAGATGAAGCAAATTAAAAAATAAACTAGTCAAGTGGGAGTTGTTTAAGGCAATGTTGTTAATTCTCAAAACTTATGTTTAAGCTAGTATGGGAGCGCATTTTCTCTCTCGGTTTTGTGGGAGGAAGTTATGACAATTTCTTCATCAATGGTTCATAACTATTGTGCGGCCATAGTCAACAATGATCCCTCTGCTACCCATGTGGTAGAGGTTAGAAGAAAGAGTGGGCTCTTGATTTGCTTCTCTGAGAATAGGAACTGTGTGAGGGTTTGGTGTGGTGGTTCGTCTTGGCTCTTGATTGTGCCTTTGTCCTCTTATTTCTTGATGATGAAAGATGATTTGAGCATGAAGAAGGCTTTGGGAGGAATTCTAATGGTGTAATTGAAGAATAGTGGTACTGATGGTAGGGTTTTTGGAGGTGGCCTTTTGATTGGCAAGATTATTGCAAATAAAGAGCTTAATTGATTTATAGTACAAGAATATGATTTAAAAGGGTTGGGGTTTATTTGAGGAATGAGATATTGTCGATCATGAGAACAATATCTACATCTTTTATTTTGAGAATACAAATGATTGTGATCATGTTTTGCATGGTAAACTGATGACTTCTAATATTTTACTAAATTTATTGGTGTTTTTAATGTAATTACAAGTCATTTATTTGAATTTATTAGCAAAAGTATGATTGAGTGGATAATTATGTGTACAAATGGACATGAAAATGTAATTGAAAGTTAGTGAACTAATTCAAGCATTAATTTTAGGTTTTATACATGTAAGGAGGCCCAATTTATTGGCCCAAAAAGATGAAAACTTTTGAAGCCAAGTCCAAAGAAGTAAATCTGAAAAGAAAATACACACAAGTCATGTTCGTTGCAGCAAAATAGAATTTTAGTGAAATGCACAGTTTTAATTTTCAATGAACTTTTAGAGTTTGGAGGCCTCATTTTCAACCATTCCCAAATTTCAATAGCTACATAATGTCTAGGGAGAAAAAAAAAGAGCCAAAAAAAGGTTAGAAAAGCTTGAATTTAGTAGAAAATTAAGGGTTTTGGCTCAAGATCACTTTGGTTAAGCATTTCTTCTCCTTCTTTTCTACATTTTGATGTATATTTTGTCAATATTTGCTGTCATTAGAGCCATGTGTGATTAATTTTCTCTTAATATAAGTTAGCTATGAACTGATTCTTAGATTAAAGCATATTTGAACCATTATCTTAATGCTAGTTTTGTTTACTTAATCTTGTACTTATTTGTCTACTTAATGCTTGGGCATCATTGAGTGTGAATTTGGAAATTTAAGTTTTGCTTTGAAAGAGAAAAAATCTAAATTAGACTATTAAATTGAGTAATGTGGGATTAGAATTTATTTTAATTCATCAATAGGATAGGAATATACCTATTAGATCCATATAATCATATTAGAGTGAGTTTGTGCTTTTTTTCTCTTGGATATTTGTGTTAAAAATAGCATATTAATTCAAGAGAGGAGTCTAATTAATTAAAAGATAATTATTCCTATTAATACTCTAGATTAACAAATTATTATTAAGTAAATTTATTTGGATAATTACATGCTCTATGAATTGAAAAAGAGATTAGCCACCCTAGGTTGCCTTAAATGTTTGTGAGTAGAAAAGTGCTGGCATTATCAATGATACTTGCTATTTATGGCCTTTTATGAAAAATTGTTGTTCGTCTCTTGTTTGCAGGGATGGAAATAAAGCTAAGGTCATGTTTGGTATATTAGAATTGGATCCAAGAGAAATGAAATTAAAATTGGAATCATGCTTTTAATGGTTTGGTATGCATGAATCTAATTCTTTATGGATTTCAATTCTGCCAAAATACCCAGAATTCAATTCCATCTCCATCATAATGGAATTGCCACAATTTCATGGAATTGTCATAAGTGCCCCACATACACACTCCATCATGATGGCTGGGTTTTTTATTTTTTTTATAAGGGCATTTTGGTCTTTATCTATTTTAAATACATATATTTATTAATATTATATTTAAATTTCATCTTCATACCAAACATACATTTATAACTCAATTCTATTCTGATTCCAATTTCAATTTTAATTTCAATTTTGATTCCGATTCCATCAAAAACTCTTTCATCATATCAAACGAGCCCTAAATATTTTCTTGCAAATAATGCTAAAAGGAAGAAGAAATTGACTGGTTTGGTGATGATGTCACCTCCATCTACCTTGGCTCTGATTTTGCCTCTTGACAAGACTAAATAAAGCATTGAATATTAATATTGGTAGCAAAGATGGTTCTTTTGTAAAGAAAGGCATTGGTTGATAATTTTTATTGTGTTTTGTTTTCTTTTCCAGTTGGATATTTGGTTGTACTTCGATTGGTTTTTATTTTCTATTGAAGTGGATATTGTGTTTTCCTTTTTTGGTGTGCTTTGATGTGTTAGATTGTATTTATAAGTTTTTTTTAAGTGTTTTCTTTCTTTAACTATTATTGTGTGCAATTGTTTTTATAATTAATAAAATTGACTCTTTTTCTGCCCAAAAAGGCTGAGTTGTTAGAAAAGTGACGGTCAAAAAAATGGAAATAAGAGTCAGTCAAAATCGATGGAGTCATAATTTCGTACACGAAGAGCGCCCAGAAAATGGGAGAACGGGAACGCACGCGGAGTCGTGGACCAAGACCAACCCAAAAACTGACACAAATTAAAAATATTGTTCCTAAGTTTCTGCATTTTCCTGTTTCAAAGCTAATTTTTGCATTTCAAGATTATGACTCTATCATGGATCTCCCAGTTTATATTCAGGTCATTCACACTATATAGTATATATCATCCCACTCTTGTTTCATTTTCAAATAATCCACATAGGCTATGTTGAAGACTTGATCAGACCCTTTGACACAAACGTTCCATATATATAATGGTCGGTGATCTTCTTTTTTAATTTCCTTGAATATGTAACGCCATTATTTTCGTCATTAATTCATACGTAATA